TGAATGAGGAATTAAATTAAAAAAATCATAATATTCTGAGTCACAAAATTTGGAATGGTTTGTCATGCAGCAAAGGGTAATGAATGCATGTAGTCATTAGCATTGTTGCGATCTGAGAGGGTTCAAAAGTGTAATCCATGTAAGTCCTTAGCTTACTGCCAAGCAGGGCAAATCCCTTAGTAAAGGGTAACTGCTACATCATCATTATTAAGTTATTTTTGTTGTTTTGGTTATATCTCAACTTTTTTTTTTTTGGTACCAGGGCCTTGCTCTTACACAGCAGGTGGTGAAACCACTGAGCTAAATCCCCGGCCCTGTTGTTTTGGTTATAAAGATCACTTATTCTCTTTCCTCTTCTAGATATTATGCCATTGTTTTTCATTATCATTACCTCTTATGAATAAGGCAATTTTATGTCTTTGGTGCTAATTGGTATTTTCCTTCCTAATAGTGAGTAGTCTAAAACATTTAAAATTTTTCTTAATGTGAAATAAAACACATGCATAGCAAAATGCTTAAAGTGTCAATATACAGGTTATAGCAAGTTATAATAAAATAAACACTTATAATGACCACTCGGGTTAAGAAACTGAACATTGCCAGAACCCCAGTTGCATGCTCTCCCTGATCAGAGTCCTCTGCTTCACACCTAGAGGTAGCCATCAATCTGATTTTTAGTGCTATAGTTACTTCTTAAGCTTTTCTTACCACTCTCTGGGCATGTAGAAATGGATTAGTATAGTATGCAGCCTCTTGTTCCTGGCATTATCAGCTGAACGTTGTCTCCCTCATATATCCACAGCATGAACAACAGTGAGTTCTAATATCATTGTTGTATAGAATTTCATACTCAGAATATATGTGTGTCAGACCTACTATTGATGGGCAGTTGGGTTATTTACAGTTTGGGAGTATTATGAATAACTCTGTCAAGCACATTTATTCTGGAAAATATATGTGATAGATTTTTAAAGGTGTGTATGGTTGAGAGTAGACTTTTTGGGTAATAAATGGCTGCCATTTTTTGTTAGTCTCACAAGTAAAGATCCAGGTCCAGTGATAACAAATGGTATAAGTTGTATTAAGTGTTAATTTTTATTGAGGTTAGAACAATTGGATTACCACATCTTTCAGGTGATTGACAGAGAAGGCAATCTTAAGTCAGTGGGGACAGGAGTTGGGATGTGATACAAACTATGTAGGATAGAAAGGGTTAAGATTTAGGTGAAGGATTAGAACGCTCCAGAAGGGAAATCTTTGAGAAAATTTGGTGACATTATATTTGAGAGTCTTAGATTTTCAGGAGTTTATAACATTTTTTACATTATTGTCCCCCACACAAACCTGTTACAATGGTTTATATTTTATCTACATTATGAGGAAAGAGATAGGGCAACTTGGGGACAATCGACAGATCTTTAGACACATCTTGGGCCATATAAAGGGACACAGCTCTTTTAGGACTGAGATTTCCTTTGGCCGTTTCTCCAAAGCAAAAAAGTGAGGTAGTAACACTGCCAAAAGAGAAGGAAAAAGATATGTCAGAAATGGAAAATGAGAAAAACCTTTTGTTTAGCCAAATTAAAGACTCCGTATCTATTAAAGACAGTAGAGGCTATAAGAAGATTGGCATAGTGTAACAACCATGGCAATTTGAGTTTCTTTGTGTAATTGTACAGAATGTGCTGTAAGTGGGTCAGCGAGCTATAATCAAACATGGTGGAGCTGAAGAACAGCGTCTGTGTGTTGAGTCACGTGATTGTTCTGCCGCAAGGCGCCCTGCCAAGCCAGCGATGCCGCTCTTCTTTCTGTGCCCTGATGACCTCAAAAGGAAAGCAGAAGTGTTTATAGCTTACTGAGTTCTTTTCCCTGACTACCTGAGGAAGTTGAAAACTTGAGGATTTAATTCAGGTTCAGTAGTATTGCATTGATCTTATAAGAAAGTAGGCAATTTAAAGCATTTGGACACTGTATTAAGATCACATGGAGATAATTGGGGCAATTGAGGAATTGTTCGCTTCATTTGGGATCATGTTAAATAGGGTTGTTTTTACACCGTTACGTGCTTTCCCAAGTTGACTAAAGTAGTATTTGTGACAGGCTGTAGTTGAGCATGCTTTTAAGATGCAGAACAAAACCTAGCTTACTGCTATGACTTCTATTGATACAGGGATTTGTAGGCTGTTTCCATAGGCATAGAGCTAACATTCACTGAAGGTCTACGTACGTTATTGATTTGATTTCTTGTATTATTTCTGAATGGTCCCTGGATGCATGGAATTGGTGATGGTTTTATAACTTTTAATATTATGCTTTTCCTGGAAAACAAAGTGAGCTTTTCATGCTCGAGTAAACACATTGACGTATTATGAAACTGTCACTCTGTGAACAATTGGCATAAGCTCAGTTATTCAAGTATGTGATTCTTTTCAATGGCTTCTGTGTGAGCTAATGCTTTAGTACAACTAGCATAAAGAAATTTCAGTACTTCCTTAAAAAAACTGAATCATCACTGTATGATTAAAGAAATCCAAAGGATTAGTCTTTTTATTGAGCGTTTTCTTCATTATCATTTGTAGCTAACTGCAGTAATCATTTGTTAGGATTCATAGCTCATTTTATTATTATTTATTTATATATTTTTGAGACAGGGTCTCACTTCAAAGTGCAGGCTGGCCTTGAACTCACTGTGTGTCCCAGGCTGGCCTCAAACTTGCAACAATCCTTCTACCACAACCTTCTGGTCTTGGGATTACTATGTCTGGCTCCATTCATTTTAATTTAAAATACATCTTGAAAATTAAACAGTCCGTATGATGTCCTTGTCACCTGACATGAGTGTCTCCCCACTGTGCCCTGTTTAGTGCACCTGTGCACTGGCTTTGTGATAGTGGCCTTTAATGGAAACAGCTTTGTTTTCTTTTCTAGTTGTTTGAATGAAAATCTTTTTCAAGTAATATGATCTTTATGATAGTTATTGTTGTTATTTGCATAATACTGAACAGCGTGCTAATCATTTCCTCATTTGATATGTTTTCTAGCTTTTCATTTTTACAGATAATGCAGTGATGCAAATATGTATTTGTGCAATATTCTTAGTTATATTGCAAGGACAGGTGTCCCAGAAGTAAGTCAGTGGATTTGTAAATATCTAATCTATCATGTCGTGCCCTGTTTCTTTCCAAAAGGCAATATATTCTTATGTAAGTATCAATTCCTTTACCAGTACAAGAGAGAAGAAGCCTGTTACATATTAGGGGCTCACAAAATTAACATTTGAATCATCCTGTAATCTTAGAGGAGACTTTTGCCTTTGCAAATTCATTTTCCATTTTTAGCAAAGTAATATGTGCAAATAGCTTGAAACATCCAATAACCTGTGCAGCCTGACAGGAAGAACAGAAGCCTCTGCCTTCTCCTCTGTGTGCCTGGCTTTTGGTGGCTTTGGGAAACGCTATCTCTTAGCTGTTTGTATGCATATGTTATTATGGCTTTAAGTATTATTCATAATCAAATCATGTTTATATTTTGATTGTATCTTTTTATACTTTTTATATTACTCTGGAATTAATAACTGTCCTTTTTGCTTGCATTGCTTTCTGTATTCCTGTTTTTCATTTATCATTCAACATTCCGACTGAGTTGTAAATATCCTCTTGGTACTGCCACATACATCAGACAATCCTCAGATGTGTCCTACTCATTTTTTTCAAAACTCCCTCTGGGAGCCTCTACATTTTGCTCCAGTGTGCACAGGTTGAACTCAAGGCCGGCAACTCAGCTAACATCTTAGCATTCCCTTCATGGTTTTTCCCTGTGAGTTTCTTTTGTCTCTCTCTGTCTTGTTGATTCTGTTTCTTAGAGCTAACATTTTGCTTTTGAAATTTCCATTTAATGGATTCCTGAGAAATATGTGTGGAAGGTAAATTGTTGTTTGCAGCCATGTATCTCTGAAAATGTCTTTCTGCCATCATACTTAATTGATTGTGTGCTTTCAGGCTGGGAGTTTAGAGGAGTGCTTCCTTTTACTTTCAGTGTTGCTGCTGAGTCCAGTCCCACTCTGATTCCCAATTCTTTGTTAGTCCCCTGCGGGGGGCCCTCCCATTCTTTGGGAGCTTTCAGAATCTTATTTTGGAGATCTTATTTTATACTATTCTCTATGTATCTTTTTTCATCTATTTTATTGTTCAGATGGGGTGTCCTAATCGTGTTCTGCAGTCTCCTGTTTTCTTCTAGTTTTACGTGGATACAGTACCTTATGGACTGATTTATTTTAGTTTTCCCACTTCTTCCATTTCTGCATCTCATTGCCCTTTGGAAAAATTTTATAAACTTTATTATTTTTTAACCTCTTCTGTTAGGTTGCTTTTTTGATGCTACAGTATTTTTTATTTTTTATTTTTTTTGGTACCGGAGATTGAACTCAGGACCTTGTACTTGCGAGGCAGGCGGCGGAACCACTGAGCTAAATCCCTGGCCCGCTACAGTATTTTTTAATTTCTAAGAGCTTATTTCCAATTCTTCAAATCTTGTTTTTTATGGCATTATGCTGTTTCATCTCTGGCTTTTCTGAGACTATTGATTATTATATTTTCTAATGTGCAATAATTTCTTTTATAAGTTTCTTTTTAATGTTTAACATTTAGTTGTTCCATATGTTTACCTAACATTGAAGATATAATTTCCCCTGAGTAAAAGATGTGACCATCTACTGGATGACTGCTATTTTCATTAAGTTGCTCATTAATATTGAAAATTTTATTTTTAAATAATTGTAGATTGATAGGAAGTTGCAAAAATAGAACTGAAAGAGTCTTTATACTCAGATAATGCCAGTGATCACATCTTTACATGTCTGCAACATACCAGCAAAACCAGCAAATCGACATTGTACAATCTTGGATTGTTTGTAAAGACATGCTGCTTTAAATTTTCTGTTAACCAAAAGCCTTACACTGAAGACATATGTGAAATCTATGTAAATTGCTTTTGTCTTTCAGCAATTTTTCCAGCTAGTCAAATTACGAAAGCTTGGACTTAGTGATAATGAAATTCAGCGGCTCCCTCCAGAAATCGCAAACTTCATGCAGCTGGTGGAACTGGATGTGTCTAGAAATGGTAAGAATGAGATCCCACGTGGGCTGTCCCTGTGTCTCTTCTGATGCTGGGGCCATTTTTAGTAACCACAGTTGTATAAATGTTGCTGGAGATGCTGTCCCTGGTATGGGAAAGCGATGTATACATGTGGAGATTAATGCCACTTTTAATAGTTCAATCAACTTACAAGTATTTATCAAAAAAATTTTTTTCCCCCATTAAGTTTATTGGTACATTTTAGGTATAAAATACATTTACATATATCATTGGGATCCTGTACCATTAGATGAGTATCTTGGTTTTTTTTTTTTTTCCCCTTCCCCTGCCCTCCTTTCACCCCCTCCACCCTTCCCTATTTGCAAAGATTTTGTTTCCATTTTTTTCCTCTTCTCATAGTTTTTCTTTTCCCTTCTTTCCTTTCCCCTACCCTCCCACTTCCCCTGCTCCTTTAGACCTTTTCTTCCTATTGCACAATATCAATTATACATTTTTAAAATTAAAATATCAAGACCTAGGAGACATTACCACAGATTTTACAGAATGTAAAAGGATAAAGAAAGCATATTTCAAAAATCTGTTTTGAAATAAATTTAACAACTTCTAAGAAGTACCTTGGAAGACAAATTAATGAAACTAACTCTGGAGGAAATATAAAATTTGAATAGCACCTATTAA